GTGCTTACTGTGATCACCACAATACACACAACAGTTCTGGACCGTGTGAACACACCCTTAAACTTAAGGGGGATGGCAACGCAACAGCACCGCACCAGCGCTATGAACACCGTGATCAACATAGACGTGTCGTAGAATATCACGGCGTACCAGTAGATAAAGAGAAGGATGACGGAGGGGTGAATTATCCACGTGACATGTCGACCTAAGTTCGCTAAAAATAAAATATCGCACACCGCGCTTACAGAAGACAAAGTCAGATATGTTCCGTCAGACAGAGACAGAGCAAAGAAAGAAATGTTGACAGAATCTTTGAGTCCCATTTTGTAAAACACAAGGATATTCAGACTGTTAGAAAAGAGGCCAAGAACAATAGCTGTTGGTCTAACTCCGTATAACAAAGTCTGAACAAAAATGGTGAACACTTCATGAGGCACAAGCTCTGTTGGGGCTTGGAAGGAACTTGGTCCGTTAGAACTGTTTGTTTCCATACTATAAAGGAGAAGTGTCTTAACATCAAGCCTGGTATATAACAATGAATGGCATACTCGAATGGTATCCTCCCATTAATAAGAGAACATAACACAAGTTTTTTTTAAAGATTTTGTTTTGTTTTTGTTTTGTTTTTTACTGTTTTTTTAAATCCACACCTGTATTGTGCCTTTTCACATAAGAATCAGCGTTCGAATAAAATTAAATAGGGATGTGGCTTTCTTTGTCTTTACAGGTGTTTTACTAGTCGGCTTGGAGCAACAATTTGATTTTCCAAATTAAAAATACTAACAGCCTTGTAATTTGAATTCATGATATTCAAAGTAACCTACCCTTCTCTTTTATTTCTGCTGTAAGAAATCTAGGCCAATATTACAGTCTATTAATCTGAATTCATAGCATTCAAAGTAACCTCAACTACCCTTTTATTCGAAATTTTTAAAAAAATGTATGTTAATAGTACAATTTGTTCGGGCATTTTGGCGTTTCAATTTCCTACGGGTTCCTATGAATCTTTGAACTATAATTATAACAATTAGTGACAGCACTTCTCACGTTCTTTTTTTAGGACAAATCACTCTTTCTTGTAAGATTAGTATTAACTGTAAATCATTTGAACGAATATCACTATTATATTAAATTTTTTGGGGTGCTAAACGCTAAGGTCGGGAGTGAAGACGAGGTACGTCTTATGGCTGTGTGAGGTGAGATCAATATGGTCAATCCCCCCCCCTCTCTCTCTCTCTCTCTCTCTCTCTCTCTCTCTCTCTCTCTCTCTCTCTCTCTCTCTCTCTCTCTCTCTCTCTCTCTCTTTACCTCTGCCTAATGACTGAACTCGTTCAAAGGTGCAGATGGCATTTACCATAATCTTAACTGTTTGCTCTC